TGATTTAATTGCTACACAGACCTTTTTGCAGTTCATTGTTGAAGTCGCCCTTCTGTTTCAACCTGTACCCAGCTATGATTTCTAATGGAAATGCTTGACTGCCAGGCAGTTGGCATTTTTAGACGGAGATTGTCATGGGCAGCCTATCACTCTCCGCTTAGGTTACCTTGTAGAATTCTGTTGATAACTGGGTGCCCGTAGACGTGTAGAAATACAAATCTTCTATCTAAAGATGGAAAACAAAATAATAGGTTCTCTTTAGAAACTGGAACTGCTCTGTCTTTCGAAACTGTAGAAAAGTCTTTGTCTAGACTGTAGTCCTTTCACGCTTTGTATTAAGGCAGTTATGCGGCTTTATGGCTGCGCGGTGTGAGAAGTCATAATGCTCTGTGAGTACCCAGAGCTGCAAGGTCCACTCTAAATGACTTGCTCCCAGAAATTGGCTGCGGGAATGTGTTTTTTTTTTTTTTTTTTTTTTCTTTTTCATGATGGTAAAGTATGTAACTGATAAAATGGAATGTTGAGCGCAGCAGACCCGGCTGTGGAATGCGAGATAGATGCTTGTGATATTTGTGGAAATGGATGTGTGTTAGAAATGGTGTTGGCTGTTGATATATCTGCACAAGTCTGCAATTTGCAGTGACCTTTAGAACAGGCAACTGGGTAATGATATTAAATGTTACATTGACTCACCTGGGTCATCCAGAATGGAACATGCTTCAGAATATGAAAGGAGCTTGCCATCTTATTCCAACTTTTATGTTTGTCATTGCACTCGGTGTAAATTGGTAGATGTTGATTCTGTTCCATCTCTTGTGTTCTCGTGCCCCTTTTTATACCTTTGGTTGATCTCGGTAAATGTTGGGCTTAAGGAATAGAAGTTCCTGCCTTGCACACCACCACTCCACAACAATATAGCCTGACCAAGGATAAAATACTGTTCCCTTTTTCTGGCACCCTCAACATCCTTTTTTTTTTTTCTTCTAAAAATTGGGTTTGCCAGGGACTTCACCTTGGTGCTTGCACGTGGAGATGGCCATTTATAGTATAACTCGAGTCTTTTTATTAAGAATAAAATTGTCAGGAAATAAATATTCCAGCATTCTTGGAAACCACACTACATTTTATGGCCAAAAAAACTTACCTATAAAAGCTGGTTGCACATCCCATTCCAAAACCATGACCTAATATAACAATGGCCTGGCTACAATAGTCTCCACTCTTCTGGGAAGATTTTGGAGTGTGTCCGTGGGAATTGGCTCTTGTTCGGCCAAAAGAACTTTTTTGTTAGTTCAGGTACTGATGTTGGATGAGAAGATCTGGCTCACAATCGGCTTACTATCCTAAAGGTGTTCAGTAGGGTTGAGGTCAGGACTTTGTGCAGGGCACTTGACTTCCCCCACAAATTCTCTAAACTATGTCAAAATGCAGCTGTGTAAACAAATGGCAACCACCCCAACTAGCCTTTGCAGCAAGGAGCATATGGAAGGGCAACAAAAATTCCCAGTTCACTTACCAGCCAGCCTGCAACAGAACCGAATTGATCCTTACAGTTCACATTTAAAAACAAGGGGTTTAGTCAAACACATTTGCAAATATGTGTATGCTGCAGTGGCCACGTCAAGGCTCAGTGTGCTTCAGTCCTAACTCTATAAGTTTGACAGTCTCCCAAGTTGGAGTACATACAACAGTGGATAAATTAAGGGCAGGTGTGGCTGGAGGGGAGTCCACCCCTCCTTTAAAGGTGCAGGGATACAGGGAAACCTAGGTAGAGCACAATGGTAGCTGAAGGTAATCCCTGCATCCACTCACCTATTGAACAACAATACAACAAATGGCAACCACCCCAACCTATAACTAGCCTTTGCAGCAAGGAGCACATGGAAGGGCAACACACATCAAAAAGAACCCTTTTTTCCCCCACAAAGCAAAAAGAACCTTTTGTGAGTTCTGATGTTGGATGAGTAGATCCAGCTCACAGCTAGCTTACCATCCTAAAGGTGTTTTAGTAGTGTTGAGGTCAGGACTTTGTGCTGGGCACTTGAGTACCTCCACACCAAATTCTGTAAACCATGCCATTATAGAGCTGACTTTGCATACAGTTGTCTAAAATGACTTTATATGATGTAGCATTACCACTGGAAGCATGAATTGTATAATTTAGATGGGTGTCCACACATTCTTTTGGCCAAATTTGGCAGGAGGGGATTGTCAGGTGTCCATAAACATTTTGCCATCTAGTATATTTTTACTGATATTCCTTGGAAGTAAGAGCAGAAGCACATCTTCACAAATGTCTGTGGATTGAAAGAATGTGAAATGACTGAAGATACAATATTGGGCCATGTATTGCTTTAGCACCCACTGCCTCTTCACCACGTAACCAACTCTGTTCCAGAAGCTCAGAAATTCCAAGACACCTGGCACAATAAACACCATTTTGTATTATAGAAACCAAGTAGAAGGAAGGCCACAGTTGGTATATTGAGGTTGCAGAACAAAATATTCAAGCTTTGCATTCAGGCTCTGCTGAAGACATCTGTGTAGAGGAGTATTTATTCAGCATTTTAACTTTACCTTAAAGGGAGTAAGCCATTAACTGCCAGAGAGACAGCGGAGACTATTTAGCGGACACATTACATCTCAAATAACCTTCACCAAGTGATCTCCAGGCTGTTTGCTAATGCAGGGAGAAAAATGTACACAGATGTGCCGTAAAGAAACTTAAAGGGAAGCAATAGTCTTTTCAAATGTTTTGTGCTTTTCGATCCACCAAGAATATTCATGAACTTCATGTGAAAGAAGGGTTTTCACTACTTTTTTTAAAAAATAAATTGCTTATCATACCGGCAGTCATTTTAGAATTGTTCAAGTGATACTAACCGCACACTGTTTAACTTACGTTATCCCTTGTGTTTCTGTATGTGGATGATGGCACTGTAATTATTTTAATAAAAACAACAAACATCTAAGTATCTTTTTCCTAATTGATGTACAGCTGTTGCATGACCCAGCTCTTTCCCAGCTTGCCTGCAGGGAAACATAGGCAGGAGGAGCTTCTAGTCCTCTGCTGCTGATCATATGTTGAAAAAAAAAAACAGCCTTTGAGATACAGAGTAAAAATAAATATCAATAAACTGTTTTAAATAATCATACAAATGTATATATTTGAAATGAAATCTTTATAATTTTTTTGCATTAACATGGTGTGGGTAGATTTCTGCCATTCACAGACTGTCATGCCCCCTCCAGCCTGTGTCTTAGAACAACAGGGAGGTAAAGCCTCCATATATCAAGATGTACCATTCCACCCCCGTTGTGTTTAGCTGGTTAGTGGGCATTGAGGAGGTGAGAGGGAGTGGGCTGTCATTTGCCACGGTGTATAAACCCACATGAGTGACTATAGCCACATGCGCTGCAGTGATGGCGAGGAAATGCTAAGGAGGGAAACGCACTGAAAACCGAGCATGTGCAGTAGCTGCCAACACTTCTTTACATAATCCCAAACTGCACTGGGGACATGTACAGAAGGGGGAAGTAGAGAACAGCAGGATCAATCAAGTTCTTTGCAGAATACAGAAAACACATCTCGTAGTGACTGAGTATTAACAGCATGCAATACAGCATTTGCTGATTTCGTTTTTTCTTTTTTTTTTGTATGATGTGGATTTAAGGAAAAGATTATCAAGAAAGCAAAAACAATGGGGCACGCAACTAGTTCAAATTTGTATGCATAATGAATCGGTGACTTCATGTAATCCTTTTCTCATGTGTCATTCATTAGATGAATTAGTGAAATATAAACATGAAACACTGATCTGGGAGTGACATCACATATCAAACAGCGAAACTCACAATCCAATGCATATTTTTACTGTTCTACTCGCCAAATGATTTGTAATTCTGCATAGGCAGTTTTGTAATTGTCTCTTTAGGTATAATTAAAGTGTATCTAAACCTAAAACCAAAAATGTAATATTGCGGCTTACTAGTTTTTTGTTTGGTGGCTGCATCTGTTTACCTTTTTTTTTTCCCAAGCTTCTTTTGCTTTATTTTCAGCTGGTGATCTTGCAAATAACACACTTCCTGTGTCTGGGTGGCTATGTCACTCCTCCACAGTATCTTTGGAGGGATCCGTGGTTGTCACCGTAGGCTGTGCTCCTGATATACACTACAGACATGTCCTTACCTCCTCATCTCCATTACATGGAGGGCAGAGGATGACTACGAAGGAAAATATTTGTGGTAGCAGTTCTCAGAAAGTGACAGTACACTGCATTTGTGGAAGGATCAACAGGAATTTCTGTATTTGCTGAAAATATTATTACCTTGAAAAAAAAAAGAAAACTAATGCAGCCATGATGTCTAAGGGCCGTAAGGTGTAATATATTGCATTTTTGTTCTTGGGTTTAGTTGTCCTTTAAAGTGGTTCTAAACTCAAAAAAAGTTTTCTCAGTTTTCTAAATACATTTTCTGCATTCACATAAAAGACTTCCAACACTTACCCAGGTACTTTCCAAATCCAGCACTCTCCCTAGCTGCAGCACCGCTGCTCTCTCTTCCTGGTCTCACAGGAGCCATAGGCTTGCTGCAGGAGGCATCCTGAGGAGGGAGGAGCTGACTTCGCCAGTGGAGGACTACCAGAAGAGGAGGTAATTGGCCTGTCTGTGCAGTATTGTTGCACAGAGCAGGTACGTATTCCTCTCTTTTTATTATAAAAATTTTTATTATAAAAATTATTTACTATTTATCTATCTGTGTGTGTGTGTGTGTGTGTGTGTGTGTGTGTGTATACATATATTTTTATTTATTCCTTCCAAAGAATTAACCACCTCCCGCCCGCCATATAGTACAATGATGGGTGCAAGGCAGTTCTCTCGTTCTGGGAGGACTTCATATGACATCCTCCCATTCTAACCGCGCATGCTCGACTGCGGGAGCGTGCAGCGACCGGCGGTGCGCTGTGTCCCTTGGACACAGCGGATCACCGATGAACGGAAAGAGCCGCTCGGTCATGTGATCAGCTGTGTCCAATCACAGCTGATCGCATGTAAATAGGGAAATGCCGGTTATCGGCATTTCTCTCCTCACGAGTTGTCACACTGACAGTTCAAGAGGAGAGCCGGTAATCGGCATCCCTCAGAGGGGACACCTACACTGATCATCAGAACACTGATGAACAGTGTGCCCTGATGATCTGTGTAGCCCCAGCAGTGCCAGCTGTCAGTGTCCATCAGTGCCAGCTGTCAGTGCTCATCCATGCCACCTACCAGTGCCCATCAGTGCCACATTTCAGTGCCTACCAGTGCACATCAATGCCACATATCCGTGCCCATCTGAGCTGCCTTTCATCTGAGCTGCCTTTCAGTGTCGCTCAGTGTCAGTCAGTGCCACCTATCAATGCCAGTCAGTGCCACCTATCAATGCCAGTCAGTGCCACCTATCAGTGTAGCCTATCAGTGTGAATCAGTGCCATATATGAGTGTTGCCTTTCAATGCCCATCAGTGATGCCAGTCAGTGCCCATCAATGCCACCTATCAGTGTCCATCAGTGCAGCCTATTAGTGCCCATCACTGCAGCCTCATTAGCACACTTCAGTGAAGGAGAAAAATCACTTATTTACAAAATTTTATAACAAAAACTAAGAGAAAACGTTTTTTTTTTTTTTTTTCAAAATTTTCAGTGGTTTTTGGTTTAAGAAAAAATAAACCCAGAGGTGGTTAAAAACCACCAAAATAAATCTCTATCTGTCACAACAAAATGATAAAAATTTCATATGGGTACAGTGTTTCATGACCGTGCAATTGTCATTCAAAGTGCAACAGGGCTGAAAGCTGGAAATTGGCCTGGGCAGGAAGGGGGTATAAGTGCCCTGTAGGCTAGTGGTTAAAGGAACGCTTTGAAAACACATCAGACCTCAATGGGGAAAAATCTCATGCTGGATATCTATACTGATATGGACTGGGTAATGTGTTAGGAACGTAAGGATGCCCCATCGTTTGATGGAAACGAAAATTATCAACCTACAGAGGACTGAATTCAAAGACACCCTGAAAATCAAAGTGAAAAAATGATGCACCAGGCAAGTCCATTTTGCTGAAATTTAATTGCAGCAACTCAAAATGGTACTCAGTAGTTCATATGGCCCCCACGTGTTTGTTTGCATGCCTGACAACATCGGGGGATGCTCCTAATGAGACAACGGATGGAATCCTAGATTATTTCCTCCCAGATCTGGACCAGGGCATCACTGAGCTACTGGACAGTCTGAGGTGCAACCTGGCAGCGTCGAATGGACGGAGACATGATATCCCAGAGGTGTTCTATTGGATTTAGGTCAGGAGAACGTGGGGACCATCCCGAATACCTAATATAGTTGGGGTGCGATTGTCTAGCCTGTAGAGGTCTGTGTGTCCCTCCATGGATATGCCTCCCCAGACCATCACTAAACCACCACAAAAACAGTCATGCTGAATGATGTTACAGGCAGCATAACGATCTCCACGGCTTCTCCAGACCCTGTCACGTCTGTCACGTGCTCAGGATGAACCAGCTCTCATCTGTGAAAAGCACAGGGTGCCTGTGGCGGAGCTGCCAATTCTGGTGTTCAATGGCAAATGCCAATCGAGCTCTATGGTGCCGGGCAGTGAGCACAGGGCCCACTAGAGGATGTTGGGCTCTCAGGCCACCCTCCTGAAGTCTGTTTCTGATTGTTTGGTCAGAGACATTCACACCAGTGGCCTGCTGGAGTTCATTTTGTAGGGCTCTGGCAGTGCTCATCCTGTTCCTCCTTGCACAAAGGAGCAGATACCAGTCCTGCTGATGGATTAAGGACCTTCTACAGCCCTGTCCAGCTCTCCTAGAGTAACTGCCTGTCTCCTGGAATCTCCTCCATGCTCTTGAGACTGTGCTGGGAGACACAGCAAACCTTCTGGCAACGTCACATATTGATGTGCCATCATGGAGGAGTTGAACTGCCTGTGCAACGTCTGTAGGGTCCAGGTATCACCTCATGCTACCAGTAGTGACACTGACCCTAGCTAAATGCAAAACTAGTATAAAAAAATGGTCGGAAAACATGTCAGACAGTCTACCCGTCCTTACCATCTGGGCATCTGACTGAAATTTCATATTGTAAAAATCCTCTGTTATCAGAAACGATTTGATACCCTTCATATTTTAGCCTGCCACACTAATCTGCTGGCATTGGACTCACATGGGCTAAATGCCTAGTGTGCAAAGTAGCTTTATGTGCCCACCCCTGGTTAGGTGAATCTCATTCTTCAGCTGAATACCCTAAAAGCAAGCCATCATTATTGGGCTGAACTATTCTCCAGCGTTGTAGGTGTGGTTTTGTATGAAATCATTCGATTGCTTGTTTTTATGGAAAATAAAATAATCTCTTTTCTGTAGGAGCTGCTGCATTAAATGTTGAAAGGTGTAATCTAGGCAATATTAATTTTTAACCGCGGCTCGCTGCATGCCTCTCCCCTCTTACGGTTCATTAAAGGGATTCTGCTCAGAAGTTTAATTAGAAGTGTTTCATATAATAGAGGATCTTTAGGATATGAAATTTCAGCCTGAAGCCCCGGCAGTAAAGGCGGAGAGTTTGTGTCGTACGCTGGAGGGTGCTAGTGGGGGTAACCGGACAGGAACGTTGTAACATCAGACCCATTAACCTCACTTGCTGAGCATGTCACACACTAAATTTTTGACCAATTACTTTTTTTTTTCCATCTGAAGTACTCTTGTCACAGTCTAGAAAATCTTTCTTTATAAAGAATTTGATAGACTTAAGTCACCTTGCTGGAAGGCAGAGTAATACAATTTGAACAGAAAAGCTTTTGTAATAAGATTACCAGAGTGTTTTGCTTCTACTCCTTTGCTTCTGGGATATTTCTTAGACTACATTCACAGATCTGCATTTTTCATGCACACTGGTTGCAATGCAGAGGATTTTTAGATCCGTGTTATGTGTATTTTTCAGGCACTGCCATTCAGTAAATGCAGAAAACAGGATTTTTTTTTAAATACTCTTCACTAGAAAGCATATTGTATATGTGAATGTAGGTTTAAAGTCCTGGAATCCAGCCTGTGGCCTGGGGGCCCTATAGCACTTTTTGTGCAGCTCTCAGGGCCCCTGAAAACTCTAGCAGTCTTGTGTAATGTGTCTGTAGTCTATGACTCTCCTGAAGCTTGTTCCCAGTTTCCAACAACTCCTGTATCATGTTTATTGTCCTGTCAGTCTCCTGCAGCATTTCTACGCTCTCTGACCATCTCTTGAGTCATGTCCCGTGCTCTCTGACCATCTCTTGTGTCATGTCCCGTGCTCTCTGACCATCTCTTGTATCATGTCCCGTGCTCTCTGACCATCTCTTGTATCATGTCCCGTGCTCTCTGACCATCTCTTGTATCATGTCCCGTGCTCTGCCATCTGTGTCATGTCCCGTGCTCTCTGACCATCTCTTGTATCCCGTGCTCTCTGACCATCTCTTGTGTCATGTCCCGTGCTCTCTGACCATCTCTTGTGTCATGTCCCGTGCTCTCTGACCATCTCTTGTGTCATGTCCCGTGCTCTCTGACCATCTCTTGTGTCATGTCCCGTGCTCTCTGACCATCTCTTGTGTCATGTCCCGTGCTCTCTGACCATCTCTTGTGTCATGTCCCGTGCTCTCTGACCATCTCTTGTGTCATGTCCCGTGCTCTCTGACCATCTCTTGTGTCATGTCCCGTGCTCTCTGACCATCTCTTGTGTCATGTCCCGTGCTCTCTGACCATCTCTTGTGTCATGTCCCGTGCTCTCTGACCATCTCTTGTGTCATGTCCCGTGCTCTCTGACCATCTCTTGTGTCATGTCCCGTGCTCTCTGACCATCTCTTGTGTCATGTCCCGTGCTCTCTGACCATCTCTTGTGTCATGTCCCGTGCTCTCTGACCATCTCTTGTGTCATGTCCCGTGCTCTCTGACCATCTCTTGTGTCATGTCCCGTGCTCTCTGACCATCTCTTGTGTCATGTCCCGTGCTCTCTGACCATCTCTTGTGTCATGTCCCGTGCTCTCTGACCATCTCTTGTGTCATGTCCCGTGCTCTCTGACCATCTCTTGTGTCATGCCCCGTGCTCTCTGACCATCTCTTGTGTCATGCTCCCTGCTCTCTGGCCATCTCTTGTGTCATGCCCCGTGCTCTCTGACCATCTCTCGTGTCATGCCCCCTGCTCTCTGGCCATCTCTCGTGACATGCCTCGTGCTCTCTGACCATCTCTTGTGTCATGCCCCGTGTTCCCTGGCCTTCTCTTTTGCTATGTTTGCAGTCTCTAAGCTTATCTTGTCCACAGTTTCTGACCATCTCATGTATTATTTTCGCAGTCTCTGACCATCTTTTGTACCACGTTCATAGTCTTTAACTATATCATATTGTGTCCGCTGTCTCTGAGACTAAATATTTGCTTAATTTATGTACAGCCCTTTGGTAATCTCAGGGGAAGCACTTGATATCCCCCAATATCAAGAATGTTGAGCACCACTGGTTTAATGCTTAGCCAAACGTAACAACACAATTGTTATATATTGCATTGTTTTAAGTTTAAAGGTCCATTAGAAGGCTCAAATTTTGGTGGATTCCTGCTGAATTGCCAAAATGTGAGCTATGGGAAGCCATGCAAGAACCAACCAGCCCCGCAAAAGTTGATTTAAAAATTGAATGGGCTAACTGCAAAATCATTAGCTGAACAGTGACAGCATCCTGTTGGATGCCATCACTGTTCAACGGAGCCAGCTCACGTGGCTGCCTAAATGCAATAGAGGCTCCTTTCTCTATGATAGTTGGATGAGGGATTCAATTATTTATTTTTCTCTCCCTCTCACGTGTGGGCTAAGCAGTAAAAATGAAAGCAGTCATTTTCAGCATGTACAGAAAATACCTGTTGATCTTGCCAGACATACAGTGCCCTTGTCACTTAAAAAGATAGCAAAATACAATCTTTTTTTTTTTTTTTTTTTTTTTTTTAAATGACTAATTCTGTGAATGAACCATATAATGGAGATGAACAAAGGCACAAGTTTGACAACCATGGCTCCCTCCAATAGATACAGTGGAGTGACTGAGCGTAGCCATGGAAGAATGGGAAGTATGTTATTTGCAGTGTTACCAGGTGAAAGTAAAGTGAAAAATTTGCTTCATTGGGGAGATTTCCCTTAACGTTCTGTCCTGTAGACATAAGAACCCTATAGTCACTGCATCTAATCTTTGCATTAAAAGATTTCTTCTCTATTAATGTTTTGATGTCACCAGGACAAACAGAGTGAATTTCCACCGCAGTAACACAGACAG